TTTAGAATTATAGTATTCAGTTTCTCCTTAAAGTCTATTATGAGTCACTGACATTTTAAAGCTCATATAGAAATGCATGTTTCTCTACAAAAGGAGAAAATGGAAAAGGACTGACATTTATTACATTTTTGTTGTTATGTGCTGTGTAGTATCTCCTTTAATTCTTGTGACAACTTGTTGTGTAAATGATATTACTGATTTTACAAACTCCGATTTGTTAAAAACCGTTTTCCAAGGATGTACAATTAGTAAGTACAACTTACATTCTAGCTTAATCCAAAGCCATATGTTCTACTCTGAAATGTCATTTCATTTCTAAAAGCTTAAAAAAGGAGGGAAGGAGAAGGAATGTGTGTGTAGATAATATCAAGAAAGGAATTATTTAGCTGAGCACTGAAAGAGTTTGTATCATAAAGAAAGGAAGAGTTTGTATCATAAAGAAAACACTATAAAACATGAAAATAAGGGAAAGTGACATATAAAGAAACAAGCAGTAATATATTTGAGTAGGAAATCTGCTTTTAATATAAACTTCAACTTGATTTAGTTATATTTACACTGTGCTCCAAATTATTATCTACAGGCAAAGTCATCCAGAAAATTAAGGGAGGCATATATGATAAACATAAAAATTAAAATTTTGACAGTATAAAATAAATAACATTTAGTAATTACATTAAGCACGTTTTCAGTCCCATAGTATGCTATTAAAAATAGAACAACTGTTCAAAGCATGCTGCCAAATTTCTTCAAAATGACTTGTTTTGAAATGTTGACTAAATATCCCAAAACTGTATATCCACTTTAGTATATTTAAACATTCTTCAGACCAAAAACAACTTTTCTCTATATTCATAAGGATAAATGACATGACTTTCCCCTTCATGTTAGGACATAAAGGTTTATCCATTTGTTAACTTTTAAAATAATTTTCTGATTTGTTTCAGTTGTGTCTGACTTTGCGATCCCATGGGCCCACCAGGCTCCTCTGTCCATGGGGTTCTCCAGGCAAGAAAACTGGAGTGGACTGCCATGCCCTCCTCTAGGGGATCTTCCAGAGCCAGGGATCAAACTCAGTCTTTTATGTCTCCTGCATGGGCAGGCGGGTTCCTTACCACTAGCGCCACCTGGGAAGCCCTTTGTTATATAGGGCTTTATAATTTATAAGTTGCATCCACATACTTAATTCCAAAAGTAAACCTATTAGGGAAATTTGTGTCTTACCACTCTTATTTTACGCTGTAAGGGTTCAACACATATTTATTTAATAAATATGCATTCAGTATTTACTTAGTAAATGTTTACTGAATGAACTGAATGAATGAATGAATGGATGGCTGAATGAATTTAGTTCAAATTGATTAAGTGACTTGAAGATCACTTGAGCAGAGGCCAAGCCTCAGTCTCCCCTTCTGATTATTCAGTAGTCATAATGTCTAGAAACATAGACAGATGTGTATCATGAGTGGTTTATTAGTATACATAGCAAAACACGATACATTCAGTGACGTTTCCTATGTTCCGCGTGTTGTTCGTCTGTAGTAATGACGGTTCCATTAGAACTTGCGATGAACACGGCACATTCATGCAGCATATCCGGCCATCTCTACATGTGCATTTGTGATGCATTGCCTCAGCTGACTGTGTGGCTGTTTTTCACTGGATAAACCACTCAAGAAGAAAGAATTACAGGTTCTAATCTGTAAACAAACATACTATCTTTATTCAGATACTCTTTATCTAGACTTCACAGCTACTCATGGCTTGTTCTTCCCCTCACCAAAGCTGCTTCATTTCTTACATCCCCACGAGTTTGGGGAATGTTCCTCCCCGTTCAGGCGGTACCGATGCACAGACCCAGCAGTATACGGCTAGACACTTAAGTCAGTTGCCATACAAGGATGTTATGCCAAAGTTCAGTTCAGAAACTTGAGATCGGTTACTTCTGCCTTTTAGTTCTGTTGTCCTTGGCCACTCTGCCTTGCCCCCATGGCCCCTATCAAAATAAAATCTTCTCATGTGTTTGTATTCTTAACCACTGTTGACATATTTCCCGGATCTTTCCACTGTGGCCTATGGAACAGGAATTTGATTTGCAAACTGATCATTTTGGTGCTATTCAAAGAACACTCTCCATGCCTTTATTGTCTTATTCAAAATGGTTCCTAGAAGACACTGCTTCCCTTTTAGCCTTCACCAGGAAAAGCTACTCCTTTCACTTGCCATGTACTAAGCACCATGACATAGCGTTAATATTCCACCTGAATGTTTTCTAGGCTCATGCTGTTTATCCTGCTGTCCTGTGTCTTTCCTTGGCACTATCATCTCATCAGTCACTTTTATTCTTTCATGACGGATTGACATTTGGTTCATTGGTTTCCTTTCTACCACACTCTTATCTCTAGAAAATTTTAATTTCATTTGAGTTCGGTATCCAAAGGCTTACCCTTAAAATTCCTTGGCCCTCTCCAGTCCAATGCTCTTCTAAGGCAGTGTAATTTTTTTTTTCTTATCAAATGCAAAATAGCCTCCTACTGTAAGATTTTAGATTACTGTAGTCTACAGTCTGTCCCAAACCTTTTATCTTTCAGATTCTCTAGTTTCTGTTAAACCCACACTTCCATCTGACTTTAGTACCCAGACACATCATTTACTCCTTCTTCTTCAAGTATGCCAGACCACAGTTGACTTCAACCTAAAGTCCATGCTACATATAACAGTGATATCCAGTGTGTGGTCCACACACCAGCCGCATCAGCCTTTCATGGGAATTGTAAGAAATGCAATTTCCTTGGGCCTCACCCAATGTCTGCTAAGTCAGAAACTAATAGTGGACTCCAGCAATCTGTGTTTTAAAAGCTTTCCAGATAATTCTGATACCCAGTATTTAAGAGAATGACTAATACAGAGCATTAATTCAACTGCTCTCCTGCCGGGATCTCTAATATTTTTGAGTGGTGAAGAATATTCAGCTGTGAATGCATCATTATTCTAATTCAAAGCCTCTCTATGTGTAAGGTTTCAAAACATCTATCAAGTTATCCAGCTTTATTCAGCATCTACATATAAAGGTCGAGACTTTCAATCCAAATGTTTGTAGTTTTTCTTCATCTAAATTTGAATTTTCTAAAACTGTCAAATGCCCAATGCTTAATGATACTTCCAGAGGTTTATAACGCTCCTCTGTACTGGACTCTGAGCGATGCTAACTGACTCAAGTCAGATGTATGAGAAGGGGTAAAATCAGAATTTGAACTCAAATCTGAGTACAAAACTTATGCTTTCTCTTTGGTTACTGAGTTTTCTGTTTTGCACTGACATGCCTCTATTCTAGCTGAAGTGGTATTTACAACATATCTCTGTAGAATTTTAAAAAGTGAGTTATATGAAAATCTATTATCGGATAACTTTGATAAAATAGTTCCCTTTATTATAGGACTTCGAAGAGCCTTTAATATGCTTGTGTGTATTTTGAGCCTCCAAAAAGCAGATGGTATGTTATTGCTGAAAAGTCTTTGATCAAGGAACCATTTGTGGATTATCTATATTAACACCTTGCAGGACTAGCATTCCAAAATCTGCTTTGGAAAACTTGGGTTTAATCTATTTCCTTTCTCTTCAAGAAATGTGAAGGCTTATCTCCCTTGCTGCCTTTATTTCATTTTCTTTGATCTCCTGTTTTTATTTCCCTGCTCTTTTTAAGTAGAATACTCGTGTCCCCTTGTCCTACTAGGTTCCGCTCTTCTGCCTCAAGGATGCATTCAGAGCAATCACGTTTAGCATATATTATGTATGTAACATTATATCACTTTGTGGACAAAGGTCCGTATAGTCCAAATAGTCCGTATAGTATGATTTTTCCAGTAGTTGTGTACTGGGTGTGAGAGTTAGACCATAAAGACAGCTGTGCGTCCATGCTAAGCTGCTTCAGTTGTGTCTGACTCTTTGCAACCCCATGGACTGTAGCCTGCCAGGCTTCTCTGTCCATGGGATTCTCCAGGCAAGAATACTGGAGTGGGTTGCCATGCCCTTCTCCAGGGGATTTTCCTGGCCCAGGGATCAAACCGATATCTCAAGACAACTGAGCACCAAAGAATTGCTGCTTTCGAATTGTGGTGCTTGAGAAGACTCTTGAGAGTCCCTTGGATTGCAAGATCAAATCAGTCAGTCCTAAAGGAAATCAACCCCGAATATTCTTTGGGAGGACTGATGCTATAACTGAAGTTCCAGTATTTTGACCACCTGATGCAAAGAGCCGACTAATTGGAAAAGATCTTGATGCAAGGAAAGATTAAAGGCAAAAGGAGAAGGAGGCAGCTGAGGATGAGATGATTAGATAGCATCACTATCTCAATGGACATGAATTTGAGCAAACTCAGGAAGACAGTAAAGGAGAGAGAAGCCTGGCATGCTGCAGTCCATGGTGTCACAAAGAGACGACTTAGTGACTGGACGGCAACAACAACAAATGTTATGTGCCAGGCATTACAAATATAGTATATACAGGTAAATACATACTGTTTTATGTAAATCTTATAATAATTTTGTGATGATTATGTTAAATTACAAATTCTGTAGCATCATAATATGTGACATGTATATATCCAGACCTGAACATACTGTGTTAGGGTAGTAGTAGTCTGTAAAGCATGCCTTTGCTGCCAAACCCATGCTGGATGTAAGAATCATGACTATGATTAGATGGGATCTTCTTGCAATCCACGTATATGTTCATAGCACTTATCTTGAGGGGCCTTTTGCCCTAGTTTTTATTTAAAATCAGAAAAAGTTTCAATTGAAAATGGCTTATGAAATGAGAACCAACACATGTAAATAGTTAAATTATGTATGATTGCCATCACTATATTCTCTAAGTGTAGTTTTGATATTGATTTCAGTTAATCCTCATAAGAAATTGATCAAACCGCAAGGGAATTGTGTCTCATTGACTTTGTTTTTTCCTGGTCCACTACATTACCTCTTTTTCTTTCATTGTGCAGGTTCTGCTGATCTTCTGCTTTGCGTTCCGTGCTCTTCTTGCCCTGCACTGGTCTACTCCGGTATGTTTGCTCAGGGCACTTAATGTCCATGTCTGGTAATGATGGGCACCACTTAAAATGGCTCAAATCTAGGTTTTTAAAAAGTACATACTCTTCACGACCTATACTGAGAAAAAGATTTTCCTCCTCCATGATGTTTTCTCTTTCTTTTTGTGACATTCTGTGGATCTCAGGCTCCTCATTGAGTCTGTGTTCTCCTGTGTGGAGGAAGTCAGGTGAGAATTTTAAATCTCTTGTCCATGGCAGGAAGATCACTTTTAGATATACATGAGATGCAAATGTCTACCCTCTTTGTGCTAACCCTAACCCTAAGATACTACGAAAGATATCTTAGAGACGGAGCATCTCAAAACAATTTCATATCCTGGGACATGAGGTTACTCTATGAACTGGATGTATATAGATGAAAAATTCTCAGTATCTTCTCTCAAGGATGTTACCAGGAGGAGTAAGGCATTGGGTGTGTCCTTAGCACTAATAGAATCATAAAATATCAAAATGAGAAAGAACCTGAGAAAGATCTACTTCTCTTCCTGTTCCACACTCACCCCTTCTTTGAAATACCCCTACCAAATGGCTAGCCAGCTCCTATGTAATGGTATATACCAACTCCTAAGCTCTGCTGTAGTTGCTCCGTGACCCAGTCCTTGTGTGTTAAAAAAATCCCCTGAAGAAATAACCTCTGCATTGTGCCATTGTGTAGTTGGCGAAGTATTATGCTCATTACACATGCTTTATGATAAAACTTGGAAACTGTTTTATGATAAAACATGGAAAACATAAAAAATGGAAACAGTCTAATGACCAAGAAAGGAAGATTGATTTTAAAAATTACAGCAATCTGTATAATGGGATACTGTGCATCTATTATGAAGAATGAGATGTGTTAACTCAATACATACCTAGATTTTACTGATATGAACTGGTTCTATCTAATCATATCTATATATATTCTGATGTATAAACATTTTTACAATATTGTTTTATAAAGAATTGAGTCATAGGACAGTATTCTAGATATGATTCATTTTTTGTTATGTATAACGCATATACTCACAATCATATGCAGTTGGTCCTTGAGCAGTGTGAGTGTTAGTGCACTGATTCTTCACATAGTTGAAAGTCCACATATAACTTGACAGTCAGTCCTCTGCATCTGTGATTTCACATCTGTGGATTCAGTATCTTGGATTGTGTAATACTGTAGTACATATTTATCAGAAAAAATATGCATATAAGTAGACCTGCACAGTTCAAACCTATCTTTTTCAAGGGTCAGCTGTATTTATATCTACAAAATATTGTCTGTATAGTTTAAAAAGGTCTTGAAAAGCTATCTGCACCCCTGTGTTCATTGCAACATTATTTACAATAACCAAGATATAGAGAAAAACCTAAGTATCTATTAACAGATGAATAGATTAATAAAATGTGTGTGTGTGTGTGTGTGTGTGTGTGTATAGTGTTAGTTGCTCAGTCATGTCTGGCTCTTTGTGACCCCATGGGCTGTAACCTGCTAGGTTCCTCTGTCCATGGGATACTCCAGGCAAGAATACTGGAGTGGGTTGCCATGCCCTCCTCCAGGGAATCTTCCCCATCCAGGGATTGNATACGTGGAATCTAAAGAAAATGAAACACCGAGCTCATAGATACAGAGAACAAATTGGTGGTTGCCAGAGGCAGAGAGTGGGTAAAATGGATGAAGGTGGTTGAAAAGTATAGACTTCCAGTTATAAACTAAATCTTGGGGACATCATGTACAGCATGGTGACCACACACAACAAACGTGAATTTCTTATGTTGTTAAAAATATTTAAAACCTACTTTAAAAGAAACCACTCTCCTATTTTGTCCCAAAATCTGAATCCTTGTAGCTGCCTTCTTTCTGGTTCAGTCTTTTCATTTCAGAATCAAGAAGTGCATCTCCCTTCTATGCAATGACTCTGCCATTGCAGGGATGTGAAGATCATGGGATTTTCTTTCTTGGGCCTTAAAATGTTCTTTGCACGACATACAGGCACACTGCCCTTCGGTCCAAGAGACTTAAATGTGTAAACTCATTCATCTGCTTTATATTAAGTAAAGGCCTATGATGAATCAGGAACTATGACAAAGAAGGACACATCACTATCACAGGTGATGTCACAGCTTGTGTGTGTGTTATTCTCTCAGTCATGTCTGACTGTTTGTGACCCCGTGAACTGTAGCCTATCAGGTTCCTCTGTCCATGGAATTCTCCAGTCAAGAATACTGGAATAGGTTGCCATTTCCTTCTCCAGAAGATTTTCCAGACCCAGGGATCGAATTCATGTCTCCTGCATTGCAGGCANCACAGATAACCCAACTCCCTTCTTCCTTACCTCTCTTCCTCCCTTTCTCCTTTCTCTTCCATCAAACAACTACTTACTAATCAAACACCACACACAAAGGATTCTTTCAAGTCCTAGGAGTCATTCAGAGATTAATATTCTTCTTTCAATGTGTTTATGATCTAGTCAGTGAATATTAAATATAACTTGGGTAAAAAGCATTAAAAAAACATATAAAATATTCCTGAAGCATGGACATATTCCCTTGACATTCTAGTCATATTTTTCTGGGGAGAAAAGCAGTTCATTCAATCAAGAAGTGTGGACAGATAGTTTCAGTGCCAAAGTGGAACAGGCTGACTCGCTTTATGCTGCTCTCATTTTCTACATTCAGTCTCAGAATTCCTTCAAGGAGAGTAATTGTGTACATACCTTGCAGGTATTTCTCATTGGCACTATTAGGAGGGAAGTCCATCTATTTTACCAGTCCAAGTTATTTTTGCATATTTTATATACAAAGATGTTGTATACAGGTACCAGAAATGGACATAATGACAGTTAAATATGGTTACTAGAGGTAATACTCTAAGGTCAGTGCCACTGTAAAAGTTCAGATGAGTAGAGGAAAGCATGAAAATCCCAGTCTTTCTTTTTCACATGTTGTGCTATAGACATATCATTAAGTGCATCTTCTTTTGTTTTCTTTCTCTCCTACAGGTCTGTGAAGCAGGCAGAAGAAGTTACAAGTGGTCCTTAAAGAAATGGCAATTAATCAAATCCTTATGTATAGTTCTAATTTTATTTACTATGTGTAATCATTTAGAGAATGATTATTTTTATAATATCAATAATAAACAAGTACTCTTGTAACCAGGGGGTGCCTAAGTGTGTAATCAACAAAACACTAACCCTGGCAAAGGATTCTGGGGTGGTCAGGCTGCCTGCTGCCTTTTGACATGGTTAGTGTCCTGGGTTTAGATTACTTTATACCTAGTTATTAAGATTACTATTTGATACATTAAATATTGCCTGATTCAAATAACTTTGCTTAAAATTTTTCTGTATTTTAACTTGTCTAGGGTTTTCTACTTCTTATATTTTTATAATGTTTCTCATTTTTTAGATTAATAAACATACTTATCCACACGTGCCAAGATAAGCCATTTAGGTCTCTACGGGAGTTAGCTATTGTGTCATCACCTGCCATATGTGTTTTTGTGCAGCAGCAAGAGGTGTGTTCACCACCACTGCCCCTTCCTCTGATTATCCTCCCTACTCCTACCAAAACAAATAATTGATATCTTAATTCCATAAAGTAAATCAATAAGGAATGAAATGCATGGCCCAAAGCATATGCAATGAAAATTGTTTGACCATTTATCCAATCGTTGAACCCAATTAAGATTATCCATTTTAAATTTGATATCTGCCCGCTTTTGGAATGTGTTATGCATTGATGCTACTAAGTGAATGGAACTAAGTACATTTTATTTAGCTTATCGTCTGTTTTATCTGACTTGTTGTAATCTAAGTTTACTTTCTGGACCTTTAAGGCATACAGTTAAATTATAAAACTGCATATACAACTGTCAAAGAAACAAACATTAAAGGCCAGAACATGACTAAAGAATAAACAAATTCTGATTGTATGAATGAAGTCAGAGTCCTAAATGAAATAATATAATAAACCTTCTTATATTAACACTTTTTTGTGCATAGAAATGCATGAGACTAATTTTCATAAAGGTTATTTTTTGGGGGGGGTGAGGGGCAGAAACAAATTAAAGGCTTATAAACCAGTTTATTTTTGAACAGAAAAGAGAGAAGGAATGGGAGTAAGTTTATGGGACCACACAACTCCTTTATTTAAAAATCCTTACCATGAAGAATATGTTGAAAAAAGTTCTGATAATACAAATGTTCTCCCTGTTGAGAACTGACTTTCTTTAAAATACATCACCCCAGTGCCTTCATCTGAGCCAGACTTCCCTCCAGCCATCACTTGGTCAGTTTTTGTCCAACTCGTGTCTTCTGACCTCTTCCTAGAGACAGCTACCCTACTAAGTGCCACGTCAAACTCAGAAATCAGATCCACCAGGCCATCAGAGTATATATTCCTGAAAATGCTACCACTAGATATGAATTAAAGTGGCAAGGACAGATTTTATTCCATGACAAATTACTTCAATAGAGAAGAGGGTTCAACATGAACTGAACTCAACTTCGATTTGTGTGAAGTAACTGGATGTTTTAAAGGGAGTGAGGGAAGAGGGAGGAGGGATGTCCAGGACTTAAGCCGGAGTCAGGGAAATGGCAATTTATTAAAAGCAGTGAGGGGAGTTGATCCATGTGAAACCATCTGATTTTGCTAACTGGTACTCATGGAAGTTTGACTTCCATCTTCCCTCAGAGACTGAGTGACAGGCACTCTATCTTCAGGTCAGCTGGGACAAAGAGTAGATTCTTTTGTCAGCTTGTGCTTTCCCAGACAGGAACATATAAGGGGTGTGGAATTATCCTATGATGCCTTGACTTAGAAACTATGTTTGTATTTGTTCAAGCCTTTTAATGGGGGGGTAGGATTAGGTGGATAAAATCATACCTACTGAGAGTCTCTAGTTTTTATTGGCCAAGATTGAGGCTGGTCAAGAAGAGGGCTCAGAGACTTCTTTGGTGGTCCAGTGGTTAAGAATCTGCTTTCCAATGCAGGGGTCATGGGTTCGATCCCTGATCAAGGAACTAAGATCCCACATGCCATGGGGCAACTGAGCCTGCGCACCGCAACTAGAGAGAAGCCCACGAGTTGCAATGAAGAACCCATGTGTGCCACAGTGAGAAATCCTGCTTGCCACAAGGAAGATCTTATGTGCTGCAACTGAGATGCAATGCAGCCAAATAAATAGTAAAAAATGAAAAAATATATATTAAAAAAAAAAGAGGAGGGCTCAAAGGAGCCAGACTAGGTATATGCTCACTTTTGAAAGGACAGAATCTTCATTAATGCCAACTGGTCAGGTCATATACTCACATACACACATACACACACACAAACCTCTGCTCTCTCTTCTTTGTCTACTCCAGTAATCATTTTCAGAGGCCAAGGCCAGTAAACAACTAGAACCTCAAATGGCAAATTTCCCCAGATTGCTTTCCTATCTCCTCTTTCACCTATCACACATGAAGTCTGAATCTCTTGGCAGATTCCCAGACAGGAACATATAAGGGGTGTGGAATTATCCTATGATGCCTTGACTTAGAAACTATGTTTGTATTTGTTCAAGCCTTTTAATGGGGGGGTAGGATTAGGTGGATAAAATCATACCTACTGAGAGTCTCTAGTTTTTATTGGCCAAGATTGAGGCTGGTCAAGAAGAGGGCTCAGAGACTTCTTTGGTGGTCCAGTGGTTAAGAATCTGCTTTCCAATGCAGGGGTCATGGGTTCGATCCCTGATCAAGGAACTAAGATCCCACATGCCATGGGGCAGCTGAGCCTGCACACCGCAACTAGAGAGAAGCCCACGAGTTGCAATGAAGAACCCATGTGTGCCACAGTGAGAAATCCTGCTTGCCACAAGGAAGATCTTAGGTGCTGCAACTGAGATGCAATGCAGCCAAATAAATAGTAAAAAATGAAAAAATAAATATTAAAAAAAAAAAAGGAGGGCTCAAAGGAGCCAGACTAGGTATATGCTCACTTTTGAAAGGACAGAATCTTCATTAATGCCAACTGGTCAGGTCACATACTCACATACACACACACAAACCTCTGCTCTTTCTTCTTTGTCTACTCCAGTAATCATTTTCAGAGGCCAAGGCTAGTAAACAACTAGAACCTCAAATGGCAAATTTCCCCAGATTGCTTTCCTATCTCCTCTTTCACCTATCACACATGAAGTCTGAATCTCTTGGCAGTCATCCTGGCTATCATTCCTTACTTTGTCTCTTTTGTGTTTCTTAACACGACTCCAGAGTTATAGGTGGGGTCGGCTTGAAAACCCTATACCAAAAGGGCTTCTAGAAATACGTTTAGAATGAATGAAAGATACTGAGTTCAGTTGGGAACATGTAGAACTTAGACTGGGAACATAACCAAGACTTGGAGAATCACCCACATAAAGACAACCAACCAGAGATAATGGAGGTCGGTACAGCAGACGGCATCACCCAGTGAGAACTTGTGCAGTGAGAGCAGGACAGACGCCTCAGGAACACATACTCTCGCACTCAGGGACTGACTAAGTGATTTCAGGAGTAAAGATTGTATGTCCACCCACTGGACAGAGTGGGTGGCCCACACACAGTTTCTAAGAAGCAGAAAGTCAAAAGCAATGCACTTCAAGGTTCCTGGTTCCTCTAAGCACAGCTGGATTTCAGGGGAGAGACAGGCATGGGCTCATTTGTGGAACAGCCTTTAGTGGTCTAGTTTAATGAGACTCTAGAAACTTCCTGTGCATAGCTGGAATAAAAAGCAGCTATATGGGAGTGGGAGGAGGGGAATAAACATAGTTTCCCTTATTTAGGGAGAAAAACTAAGGCATTACCAATCTGACTAAAAGTCAGAGTGTGGAAGCATCTATCTTGAAAATGCTTTGATAAACAGTGATGAAGAGACAACTAAAACCTTAGGAAAAGACTTAAGAATTTGTCCTGCGACAACATTCTTATCTTCCTTTTTTCTTCAAAGTAATCAAACATAAGTTTTTAATTGATTGCAAGGAAAATAACCATCTTCACCAGCTGCTGAAGCCAGAGTCTTAGAAGGCACTCCTTGGGGGTGGGGGGTGGGGGAGAGGGCAGAGCCTCAGTCATTTTCCCGGGTCCCAGGGAGAGAGCTGTTTCGTGGCTGTAAATGCTGGCTTGCCTATTCTCCAAATATTTGTTGGTTTTGGCCTTTGGCTCTCTGGCCACTATTTTTTGTTTGTTTTTAAAAAATGTCTACGATGGCTTCTTGTCTCTTTTGAGTCTTTGATGTTTGTAGGACTGATCTCCACAAAGCCATCCTAAACAGATTTGGATTTGGGCAGAAGCTATGATTTGATGACTCTTCTCACTATTTTAATTGTTAAAAATGTGTCTGAAGATCCTCAAGGGTTCCACACAAAATGACAGTAGTAATACAGCCCGGTATCTGAAAAATTCAGCCAATGCATAGCAATTTTCTCTCCAAAACTGCCTCACCATGGTAAAGGGAATGAATGACTCGGCAACATACATGGCTTCTCCAGGGAAGTGGCCAACTGATGGCTTAAAATGGAAGCTCTGAAAGAGCTTGCAGCTGTCCCAGTGGACCTGCAATTTCCCAGCACCGAGCATTGCAGCTGTGCTTGAGGGCTCTTCACAAACCACAGGCATTTGACTGCATGACTGGCCTAAAGTTTACCACCTGGGTCCTGAGTGAAAGAGGAACTACTGTGCTTGTGGAAATTGGATTTTTGCAAAATCCTATTTTGCAAAACTTTTTAGGCAAAGATCATGAGCATGTACAGGAAAAATGCCTTAGAGCACATAGTCAGGATCGTATTAGGGGCTGAAATGGAGCTATGGAAATGTATGTTTCACTGTAGAAATCAAATATATGTGTTATCTGAAGTATATTATGAGCCAGTTTTAGCATCTTTTATATTTCCTGTTCAGATTTGCTGTGAAATGTCTTTCTTTGAATCTGTGATAGAAGTGAGTATTGCTCACCTGATCTACTGCTCTGCTCTTCTTCCTGGGTGTGTGGAAAGATTTTTGCCTTTCATTTAGGAAGGTTTGTGTGACTAATTCTGACCAATGGACCAGCCCTGGAAGTGTTGTGTAGCATTTCCAGCCCAAGGCACTTAGTAGTGGTGTGAGTTCTCCACTCTTTTTTTTTCTGCATCAGTGATTCTGGATGTTATAAATTAAGACAGCAGAGTTAAAGGTGTTCGGGTTCATGACTGTGTGCAGAGCTCCTGCTGGCCTGTGCATGTGTGTGTGCGTGTGTGTGTGTGTGCGCATGTGTGTGTGCGTGCGTGCTAAGTTACTTCAATGGTCTCTGACTCTGCAACCCCATGCACTGTAGCCTGTCAGGCTCCTCTGTCAATGGGATTCTCCAGGCGAGAATACTGAAGTGGGTTGCTATGCCCTCCTTTCAGGGATCTTCCCAACCCAGGGATCAAACCTGTGTCTCCTGCATTGCAGACAGATTTTTTACCATCTGAGCCACCAAGGAAGTCCAGATGTCACAGCTTACTTCATGATAGAGTCACACGTTAGACATTATTCACATGCAGTGCTGGTGATTACTGTTTTATAGGCATTAGGGTTAGCTAAGCACAGGCAGCTGGAGAATCCTAGCTTGACTCGTGGATTTTCCTAAGCTTGACTCTACCTTGGGGAAACAATCAGAAAGAGAATCACCACCCTGGAAAGGAGGTCACCTCATGCATCGTCACAACTTGAAATCTATCAACGAAGCTCCATACATACCCAGACTGTTTATATTGGAAGGACCGATGACAAGAGCAGATGAAAGAA